CTGAGTCAGATAATCATGACTGAGTCATGAGGGGCTGGAATGATGAACCGTATCTAACAGGTTTAAAAGATACCCTGTCAATGGTTAGAATGACTCTTATCAAAAAGACAAGTCATAAGTGTTGGCAAGGAGGTCTTTGGATATTAGCCATTCTGATGGGTGTAAGTTAATATCTCATCATGCTACTGATTTGTATTTTGCTGATGAGTAGCAATATTGAGTACTTTTTTTATGTACCTGTATGTCTTCATTGGGGAAAATGTCTTTTCAGATTTTCTACCCATTTTGTAAAGTGGGTTATTGTTTGTTGATTTATGTTTTCCTATTGAGTTATATCACTTCTTTATATCAAATACATGATCAGCAAATATTTTCTTCCATTTGTTAGATTACCTTTTCATTCTGTTCATGATATCCATTGCTGTGTAGAAGCTCTGTAGTTTGACGTAGTCCCACCTGCTTATTTTTGCTTTAGATGCTTTTGCTTTTGATTAAATCTACAAAATCATCCCTGAGATGATAGAGGTCAAGGGATTTATTGATGACACTTTCTTCTAGGAGTTTTAGGTCTTACATTCAAATAGTTCAACAGTTTAATTCATTGCAAGTGCTTGTTCATCTTTCTCAGCCCCACTTATTGAAGAGAATGTCCTTTCCTCTGTATGTTCTCAGTTTCTTTATCATAAGTTAATATACTTAGTGAATAGAAATAATATAATAATATATATTATATAAATAAATTATATATAAGTTTCTAGGTTGCCTACTGACCTATGTGTCTATTTTTATGCCAACACCATATTATTTTCATGATAGTTATGTGATATAGTTTGAAAACAGGTAACATGATGCCTGCAGCTTTGATCTTCTTTCTCAAGAATGTTTTCGCTTCAAGATTAGATTTGTGATGTTATATTTGATAATGTTAGAAGAAGATGGACTGGGTCTTTTGTGGTTCAATGCAAATTTTGTCCTAATGCTGAGAAAAATCCAATTGGAATTTTGATAGAAGTTTAATTGAGTCTGTAGCTTGCTTTGGGTAGAATGGATATTTTAATAATATCCTTCCAATTCAGGAAGATAGAATAATTGAGTATTGAGAGTGTGGTTCTTGTTGTGTTGCCCTCCTTTTTCTGTTAATTTTCACATAGCAACTGTTTTATCCCATTTTGTATCTTATGAAAGGATTAAAATGAATCCCACCTGAGGTGTTTTCTGCTTCCCCGTCATTACTTGCTCCTCATTTAAAATAACTTGCTATTTTGGTACAGTGTACTAGACATTGATAGCGTGAGTATAGTCAATGTCAGAAGAAAAACTGGCCTTCTTATTGATTAGTTTTAGAGCTTTCTGGAATGCTCATATTCTGGAGCTGGTAGGAGAAAAACATCTAGTAAAGACACAGACTCAGAGAACCCATGATAGCAGGAGAGACATTGCAGAATCCAAAGACAGCATTTTAAGAGTGGGTTCCATGGGAAAATGTAAGATTTTAAAAGATATTTCAGACCTAAATGATTTTATGTGCTTCTTTGTAATATATACTAAAATAATATTTTAAAAATCTTGGCCAAGCTGCTAAATAACTTCATTACCTTGTCAATCTCTGTTCACTAGAAAGTCATATTTTCTTACCATGAAAACAAGAAATTCTAGCAATTTTGCTTTAGCTTGTGATCTCACAGGAAATAATCCTTAGAGCAAAGCTTCAGAGATTTAATATAAGATAAACGATTCTTTTCATCAAATGTAATATTAAATATAAAGAACTTCAGGCACAATAATTAATTTTAATATTAGAATAAAATCAAGCATAACTTCTTCTGTCTGATTACATAGGCATGTGAAAATCCTGAAGGTTCAAAAAGTATAATTATTTCAAACTTAGAATGAGAAAAAATATGTCAAGAATTTATACATGGATTTTTTCCCTCTGCTTATTAATATTATAATGTTATTTATGTCTTCAACTAAGCAGAAGGGGGAAAATAGTCATTTAGCAGAAGCTGTGCAAAATGCAAGGTATGATGTGTCTTTGTCATGATGATGTTTGGAAGGTGAGAAAGACCCTAGGTCTTAGTGATTCACATCAGAAGTAATTGGATATCTCCCATTTAATAAAGTACTCATTGAACACCAACTGTGAAGATGACCTATTAACAAATCCTTGGATTATAGCAGTGATACAAGGCAGTGAAGAAAATAAAGAAGGATTAGAGCATCAGAAGTGGTAACACAGAGGGTATTTCTAGATTTGGGATTCAGAAAGGACATTGCTGGAAAGGTGTCATACTAAAGCAGGAAAATAAAATGTAGTTCTTTAGGGCAAATGAGATAGAGCCACAGAGAATTTGAACCATGAATTTGGGGAAGAATATTCTCGATAAACAGAATAGCAGGTACAAATATCCTGGGGCAGAAGATGCTTGCATTTTCAAGGAACAGCAAGGAAGTCATTGAGATTGGAGTCGATGGAGTGAGTATATGAGGAAATCTGTACTAGAAAGTGAAATTGGAGAGGTCTTGGAATCCAGATCATTGATAAGTAATTTGGTTTTCATTGGAAGTGACATGAGACTCCTTCTCGAGATTCTGAAGAGAGGAATAATAGGATCCAACTTATTCTCAAAGGCTATTTTTACTGGTAGATTAGGAAGAGATTATAAAGAAATTACGGTGAAACAAGGAGAGGCTGTTAGGAGGCTACGCCAGTAATTCAGTGAGAGATGATGGTGGCTTAAACCAACAGTGGTAGGTGTGAAGGTAAAAAAATTGGTGGGGTTCTTGATTGATTTTGAAAGCAGAGCTGACAAAATTCGCTGACTAATAGGATGCAATTTGTGCATCAAAGTGATTCTAAAGATGTTTAACCTGAACAATTAATAAATGGATACTGCTATTTACTAAGATGAGAAAGATTTCAAAAGAAGCCAGTTTAGGGAAGTAACCAGAAATTTTATATATATATATAAAGTTTATGGTGCCTATTAAATATTTACTAAAGATGTTCAGTAATAAATTTTACCTACAGCTTTGCTTTTTAAGGAGGATTGCAAGCTGGAGTTCTTAAAATAAAAATTAAAAAAAAAAGAAAAAACCCATCTGCATGTTATTTAAGGCACAAGGCTAGTGGTATTTTGAAAAGAGGAGTAGGAATGAATTTCAGGGCAACGTTAAGAGATTGGGGAGAAGAGAAGAACCAGTAGGTAGGCTGAGGAATTACACTGCAGGAAGGATTACTTCATTATTAATAAACTTCAAAGGGATGGTAACAGTCTGTAGTGGGCCTAAGTGATTTATTAACTTTTGTAGGCTCCATCTGCTCTGCTGTCTTTTACCTGTAGCTTGATCTAAATCAAACATTTACTCTTCTTACTCACTCACTTTTCTTTCTTTATGCCTGTGTCGCATTCATTTTGAATATCCTTATTGGTAGTCTAATTTCATCTGAGTATAACAGCATTTTGGAAGTCTGTCAAAAGTAATTTGGGGATTCATCTGCTGAATAAAATGGGTGACCAAGTTGGTTAATGTTGCTTTTGATCAAATATTAGCCATGACTGTTGAATAAAGTCACCAAGTTTACTGTGTGATTTATATGCCAGATCTAAAAGCAATGTCAAGAGGAATATTCTAAATGGTTTTGGGCAGTGGTATTAGTAGGATAAATATATAGTTTCTAAATGGACTCTGTTCAAATAACAATCATATATCATTTACATATGTAAGATTAACATTATTTCTTAATTTTTTATCATTTATGTATTAATATGTGTAAGATCCACAAACACATATTTAGCCATAAATATCTAATTGAACCTTCATTTCACAGTCTGTTTCTTCAACAACTGCTCCTCTCATTTATGATGATTATTTTATCAAACACAATAAAAAAATTAATGAACAAAAGTTCTACAAAAACACATTTTATATCACTTGCCCAATTACTATAAAAATTGCATATTATGAATGAATATTACAGATTTACAACAAACATCTTTGGATACCTGGCTAACACTAAATTTGAGGTGTAGGTATTCCCTTCAAATCATGCCAACTATTTGTTTACAGAACAAATATTTATTAAGCCCTATTTTATTCCAGAGCATGTCGTATTGAAAAACACTTGTTTTATTACATTCTTCCAAGTGCATCCTGAGAGATTGATATGGCTACAGTAGGGTGCTAAGATAACGCTATTAACTTTCTCCACATTGTATAATAACCTGGGGTGTCTAACCTTTTGGAGGACCCTTGACTAGATTGGAGAAGCTAGTGAGTTTGAGAGTTGTACCTTTTTGTGTAATGCAGCCAGACTCATAAATCCTTGAGCACTTATCCTGTTATACAGGCCATCTCCCTCCCTTACTTAATGAGGGACTGGCCCAACTGCCACCCTTGGCTGTGCCCCTCAAGTTCCAGGGAGGAATGGGTACAATACAGCAGCTTTTCATTTTCCTGTGAGGTTATTTGCAGTTGTTTTAGATCCTGAGGAGGTAAGATGGGATTCTTTTCCTCAAACACTGCATTATTGAAGGGAAGGAAATGCCTGTGAATAGTTGCATCAGAGTATACAAATATTGTTCCTTAGTAAGAACTGAAGGTACAGTGGGAATCTGAGGGAAAACACTAAGAGTCCCTGGACAAACAAATGGAGTCAATCCTCTATCTGGAGTGGAGTACCAAGATAGTAGAAATTCTTGGGACCTAGTTGTAGTTTTTTTCTCATTAGCCCTTAATTTTCTGTTCTTGATTTTTTATTAGATTTTCCCTGACACTTTATTTTGAATGAAATCTCATTTCCATTCTAGGACTTTCTCTCTGAAATATTTTATAGTCTTTGCCCTAAGGAATCATAATCATACAGAGACAGAGCAGAGTAACTGCCTCAGTGCTCCTCACATAAACCTTGTGGCTAGTTCACTCTTCTCACTAGCAACCCAATGGAGGCAAATGATTCTACATGTAGGTCCCCATGCTTTAATCTATAAAACACTTACAATGTTTTTCATGTGTTTCACTAGAATGATCAGCTTCTTATCCGCATATGATATGACTAATTGCACTTTAGGCTTCTTGTCAGGCAACTTCTCACCTAATAAAACAATAGAATTTCAGTGGGTTAAACTGGAAATGGCTCATGACAGGATAAAGCAAACACTGTAAGACTGATACAGAACCAGTCAACACTATGCCTAGGAAGCAGTCTTCAGATTATGTGTAAACAATACTTCTCAGAAGCTTGGTTGAAGCTGGAATTTGTATTTAATTTTCCTGAACCAATTCTTCCTTGTGATGCTGTGGTTTGCTTTGATTGATGCCATTATTTACCCATTCTCTTAAACTTGCAACCTCAGTGTCATTTTTTGTTGCAATTTTGTCCTTAAGATTCAGCACACTGGGTTTGAAGTATTAGTGAGGACGTAGGAAGTGTTGGCCCTACAAGTCTGGAGTTCAGATCCCTGTATCACCACTAAGAACAGTATCATCACAACTCAGCTAATCAACACCTGTACAAAGAAGGTAACACTTATAACTTTGGGATAGTTGACTGATAGATTCAAATGTTTTCAAAATGTAATTCAATAAATGTTTGTTATTACTAATACCCACTTCCTCTATATTTATAGTCATCTCTTCCTTTCTAGCTCCTCAACACTTTGATCAGATTCATCTTTTGCCTGAACTATTTGTACATTCTCTGTTCCTCCCTCAGAATCCACTTGTATACCATCACCAATATAATCTTTCTATAGAAACTTTTATCAGTTTACTTTTTGATTACAGTACTACTCATAGCTTTCCATTGCTTATTTACAGTCTAATTTCCCACACTTTCACTGTTATCTTATTGAAATTTTCTGCTTATTTCCCACTATTTTTCTATGCTATAGGTCATGGCTTCAGTCATACAAACATGCTCAACTGTTTTCTCCCAGTCATTGCTCATATTAGTCCCAATTTGAAATGAGCTCCACCATTTTTGACTATTGAACATTTACTTTTCTACAAAGTCCAATTAAAATGCAAACTAGTTTCTTCGGTTTCTTCCCTCTGAACTCTCTTAGAACAACCCTGATCACTTAATATTTACATCCTAATTACTACCTGAGTGTTTCAATTTTCTTACTGGATTACAGTCTCCCTTAGGGCTTAATTTTCCCCCTTTACCCACAAGGGATATAAGTCAGTGCTTGCTCCATAATATCACACTAAACATTTCCTTAATAGCAAGAGTTACCTCAATTTTTCTTCTTTCAAGTCATAATTATTCCATCATTAAAATGAGCGTTTTAATTTTTTAATTAAAAATTACATTTCATAGCCCAAGGATTAAGCATCATTTACAGTTTTCTAATATTTCCCTTGATAATTTCTGGTTATATAGTCTCTTAGAAGAAACTTTCTAGTAACAAGGAATTTGCCAAGTGTTCTCTTGTGGAATCGTGTGGTCCACGTTACTTTCTAAGTCAAGTCTGAACACTCTTATCCTTGCTAACATTTGAAAATGAAACCTGAGCCACATGTTTTCTCTTCCAAAATCTGCATGTTTGTAAGTATATTAATTTTATTGTTAATGTGGATTACTGATATTGCAACAATTGACACTGAGCATTTCTCACAATTGAAATACATAAATGTAATAAACTTCCTTATTTAAAATTCTTGATAACAATGACTGAGTTGTAAATTAGAGATACTATTGGCATAGTACTGGGTTCATTGCATTTCAAAAATGTGATTGACCTTTTAATATCAACATTGTAAAAATGCTGATGACTTTTGAGGCTCAATATTATTTTTAAATTAAAGAATGAAAAGTTCATTAAATAGAAACTCGATATGTTTAATCAGAGGAATTTTAATTAAACGGTAAGAAATTAGCAAAGTTATGATTGAGTGCTTAAATAGTAACCATGCAAGTCTTATTTGAACTAAGTAAAGATGATATTCCATCCTAGACCGTTCTTGTGAGATTTATAACCAGAGTATCCATCAAAACATACAAAAGTTCAGAACCCAGTGAAAATCCAGGTCATCTGGAAGCTTCAATAGTCAGTGTAGTACTAATAGAGGTATGTCATGTTTCTAGAATTTCTTCTGTGTGCTAATTGTCAGGCCAAGAGCTTAATGTTGATGTAGAATGATTTAGTCAGTCCTCAAGGCAAATCTATGAACTCTGTGTTAGCTCCATTTTACACATGAGGAAACACATGTATACAGTAAGAAGTCTTTCTTCCTTTCCTAACATCTGTCCACCCAGAATTCCCACAGCACTCTTTTGTTAGTTTCCATATATCCTTCCAGAAGAATATAGTTTCTACAGATAAACAAATATGAGTAAGTACTTTTATCCTCCCCTTCCCACAAAAGGAATAATATATTACTATTTTGCACAAAGCTTCTTTAGTTTTGGAAATATAGCTTCCATTATGTGGAAGTGCCACAATTTATTTAACTTGTTCCCCACTGGTGGCCATGTAGGCTGTTTCCAGTGTTTTGCAGCTGTTACGGACCATGCTGTGATGATAGCCTTAGATGTACATCATGTTGTTCTTGTGCACAAATATCATAAGATAAATTTCCCACAATGCAATTTCTCAAAATGTGTTAGCATTTGTAATTTTGATAAATATTGCCAAATTGCCTTTCACTGAGGTTATACCAATTTGCAGCACCACCAGCAGTGTTGAGAGTGCATGCTGATTTGTATCTAAGCCAGTTAATTAAAATTTTTATTTTTTTTTGCCAATTTGATGGGATAAAAATAGTATCAGTGTAATTTTCATCTGCACTTTTCTTATGAGTGAGATTAAGTATCTTTTCCTTTAGTTAAGGGCCACTTAAATCTTTATTGTGGCTTCTCATTTCATACTGTGGGCCTCTTTCATAGCAATTTCTAGGAAACGTATGGTAGATAATTGGAATTTTGTAATAAATTGTGGATATTTCACAAATTTTGTCATTTATTTTTGTGTTATTATGGACTTTGCTATAATGTTTTATAGCATTCATGATTCTTATAACTTCTGGATTTGTAGTCATAAGTACAGCAGATCATAAGAGATTCCCTCTCACCCCCCAGTTTTTGTCACATATTTGGTTACATTTTTTACTATTTATTTGTTTGCCATAACATTGCTTTACATCAATTGTGTTTTGGAAGTATATGAATTTCCCCCTTAAGCTTTGTTACCACAATCCAACCACAACCAAAACATCGATAGTTCTTACCCTCCCATTGCTCTCCCTGTGAATTCCTCATTTCTACAGTCAGCGTTCAAAGGTTAGTTCTTAGTTTTTTCTTTATGTGACCCTTTCTTTGGTTTCTGTATATGCTGCATATGTGACATCATTCAGTATTTGCATTTCACCTGCTCATTTATTTCACTTAGCAACAGTTTCATCCATGTTGCTGCAAATGGCAAGAGTTTATCTTTTTCCATCACTGATTATTATTTTAATGCACTTGAATCATTTTATCCTCTAATCATTTAACAACCATAAGTTTCAAGTTTCAACTGACAAGAGTAGTGCTTAATGTACTGTGCTTCTTGATTAGAATCAACTGATGTTTTGTGATAAAGGGATGAAGAATTTAGAAGCATAAAAGAGGAAATATTACAGAATATAAAAGGGGACAAACTTCTGCTAATTCTTGTTACAATAATGATTTCTATGTTTTGATTAGAAGAAATGTTCTGTCACTTTAAGGTAATACACTGTATTATATATTCCTGTTTTAAAATAAAATTGAGACTTAAATGTTTTTTCCATCATGAGTGCCAAAATCTTCACTATTTTATGATAGTAGTGGAAACAAATCAATCAGATTAAGAAAAGAATTCTCAACCCTTTTTGTTTTTCTATGTAATACTAATAATTTTTGTGTGCATATGTATTTCAGGACACCTTAGAGAGAGGTAACACTATCAGCAAGGTTAAAAATTCATCAGTGATCCACAGTTTAATTTTTTGAAAAACAGAGGGGCAATTTGAAAGGATTTTAATGACAGAATAAAGATCAACCTAATACCTTTGTAAATATTTGACATCTTTAGAATTCTACAACCTGATGGGGTTTTTGGTTTGTTTAATTATTCAAATTTTAGGCATTGAGTATATAAAAAATCTCCCAGCTAATACTAATTTTTAAAAAGAACCTATTTTTTAGATGTTTGTAAATTGTGAAAACAAAAGACACCCAAATTTTATGTTGTGGATATGATTCTTCTTAGGGAAGCGCTATAAACCATAAGAAATTGCCTTATGTAATGTTGTTTATGGTTGGCTATCTAAGAAAAGTGTCTTAGGGAGTGTGTGGTTGATGTCACATGGTGAGGGACAGAGGGTGGTATATTCTCATACATTAATTTAGCTTTTGTGAGCACATAGTACTTCATAGTGAATAGTGATTCTTTGATTTGAAGTTACTTTTGATCTAATAGGAAAAATGAAGCAGACACAGACATACACTACTAAACAAGCACTTTATGCTTGATACCCTGATCTGGTCATACGAAGCTGTAACACCTAAGGAGGAAGTAACTAAGATGTCAGATATAATCAGAGGTGATAGGCAGATGAGCCTAATCTTAAAAATAGTCACAGGTGAGTGTGGAGGAATGGGGATGAACAAATGATGGGCTTGCAAATCTTGTGTGAAATAAAACCAGTATCAGTAACAGAAGGCTAGTGGCAGTGGAATTATAACAGGGATGTTTAAAATTGAAACGATATTAAAAAAGGGATTTTTGTCAATCTAAGAGAGATAGTAGAAAATTAATTAGAATTAACACACATTTGGTAGAAGGTAGGGAGTGCAATTGTGCTGTGGTCCTAGCTGGGGATTATGGTTAGTAAAAGAAAACTTTATGGTGGAAGTTGAACAACTACTGACCTTTAAAAGCCAAAACCATGATCATAACTGTTGTCAATACTTATTTTTATCGCTCCCTAAGACAGTGAATAAATTGCAAGACTCACCTCCACAAGAAAACAGTAATATCTCTCTTTAGATGCAATTCCATCTAAATGCAAAACTAGTTGAAATGAATTAATGGTGTGACATCATGTAGTTATTGTAATTGGGCAAACACATATGGGTTTAATTTTGCTTGAAGGACATATTCTAAGGGTTAAAAAAGCTTCAGAAATGGTTAGAAAGGACTCTTAAAGCCTTACTCTTCAAAAGAGATTTTAATTTGAAAATTGATAAAGTTATAGCTATGATATCTTTTGCACAATTATTCTGAAATAATTGTATGTAGTAATGATGATGAAATTACTTACCTAGGTCCACAGGTGGTAATTCAATTGTTTGTTGCAGAGGCTCAGAGAGAAAAAAACTAAGTACATAATCACTCTGAAAAATAAGACAAAAATTATTTTTCTATAATTCCATTTAATACTGCTATTCACTAATATTTGAAATCAGTGACTCAGATATGTAGTTATCTGCTAAATACCTGTCATGGATTGCAAAAATGGAGATAAATATATTAGCAACTTTAAATCAGCAGTATAATTTAGTCCTAAAATACTAATCTCTTATGAGGTACTAATTTCTTTATGATATTTAGGAGTGTTCTGCTGGCTACAATGTTTATATTCTTGAATTTTACCACTATGTATGAATCTCATGCTTGCCCTTTTAGAAAATGCATGCCCTTGAAGAAGACTTTCAAAGAAAGATTACTCTCAGTAGGCCCCAAAATCACTTAGTGAGTAGCCATTATCCTCAAGGTCACTGCATTTTGACTGTACATTGAATATGTTAGGGGATATTTAGAAACAGAAAGGTATATAAGAGGATCCCTTTCTTTAGGATAAAATCTATTAGAGGAAATAGATTGTACTGAATGGTTTAGTAAAAGTTCTAGTTATGTATAAGTTTAGTACAGAATTGAGTGCTTCTCTTTTACATTGGGACAAAGACAAACAAATTGATATTTAACCTGACTTCCAGTTGAATGGGTACATTACAGGATTTAAAAATAGTTCATCTTTAGTGACATTGGAACACATTTTACTCTAAGTCATTATATAACCAAAACAGCCTTTCCCTGAGACCCCACATTATTATCTGAAAGGCACCACTAAATAGCAAGTGATTTCCTCTGATGATCAGAAGCTGATGCTGTGGTAGCAGACAAACTGTCTGACATTTCCCAGCCAGACTTCTTTCTCATTCTGTGTAATATACCTTTCAGAATGCTTCCAGGAAACTTCCAACTTTTGCTTTTTCTCTACCAATGATTTTGTCTCCATTATAGAGGAAGTAAAAAAGGTGAATGGAAACTCCTGAAATTCCTGCTATAAAATCTACAGACTTGTAAAGCCATCCTTTTTTTATTCCTGTGACGATGAAAGTGTGCTTCTCTCTGCATTTGTTATAAGTTGAATTATGTTCCTCTGCCCACCAAATTCAGATGTTGAGTTGTAAGCTACAATACCTCAGTAGAAGACTTTATTCTGAAACAAGGTATGGTAGTATATTAGTGAAGTTAGGATGAGGATGTACTGGTGGAGGGTGGGCTCCTCATCCTGTATGACTAAAGTCCTTATATTATGGGGAAATTTTGACACAGGCACTAATATAGAGATGATATGAAGAGATGTGTGTATATGGTCATGTACAAGTCCAAGAAGACAGCTCTGGACTGGACTTTCCCTCCCACCCAGTACACTATCCAATGCTGATTCTTTCATCTGTGTCCTGGATTCTTTTGCTTCTTGCTCAGGAAACCTGAACATTTCAGTTAGTATTTCAGTATCTTTATCTTCCTTACTTTCTCTTCAGTATCAGATATGGTCAACTCTCTCCATTTTAATAACTAACAGTTATTTTAAAATGTTAGGTTTTCAGATGTAGATTATTATGGTTTTCTCATGCAAATAATTTTATCTATTAGTATGTTCACACATCATTGTAAGGTAGTTAACTACTGTTTGATTTCTATATATTAATCTCTTGTAAGCTTATTTAATAAGAATCTATCTTCAAGAAATGTATCCTTCTTCAGGGAGTCAGTCCAATCAAGCTTTTTATTTTGAAAGCTTAAAGTCAACCTTAAGACTTTGTAGAATATTGTAAAAGAAATTTGATCTTCTTTGGCCTTTTGACAACTACTCAATTATTCTTCTCTGGCAACACTTTGACCTCACCATCCCAATGGATATTAAACTTCAACAGTAGGCAGAATGTCTTCCCAATTAATGTCTGAAATGTCACCGCTAGCTAGTTGCTCCCTTGTGTTTACACTGTCATATCATTGAAATTCTGACTTGTAATTCCAGATATGGGTGCTGATTTCTTGGTACAATAAAGAGGAGAGATAAATCAATAAAGGAGATGAAGAGGGTAGAAAAAGATCTGAAAAGAATTGATTTTAAAATTTTCTCAGAGTTGGTTTTACTTATCCTGTGGCCTTTAGGACATTGAAATACTAGATAATTTGGAGACTTACAGATATGTTACTGCTACAATGTCTCTCACTGATGAAATGGCCCAGTGTTCTCAGTTGGATTTGTAGTGACCCCAGAGTATGATTCTATTCAGTTGTTAGATTCTATACTGAGCAACTCTATGAGTGTCATTTTTACTTTGTCTCTATAATCACATTCAGTAGAGATCAACATATTTGGGGCTTCCAAATATTGCAAATAAAAAAGAAGGCACCCATGTAATATTTACAGTGTACTTATGATAAAAACAAAACAAAACAAAAAATAAACTCAAAACCTATCAGTCTATGTTTTATCTGGCGACCCTACAGTATGAGGGATTAGAAAATGTGTGGGAATACTTTTGGTTTCTCAATGACTAGAGAGTACAATTGGCACTTAATGGACAAAGTCATTTATCCTAAATGTCCTGGAATATCCAAAAGAGCCTCACAGTCTAAAGAAAGTTGTGATGCTGCTTAATTCTTCAAATGGCACTAGTTTCTCAGGTAGAAAACAAGATAAAAGAAAACTGAATTTACTTCCTTCTAAAATGAGAAAAATAAATACTATTTGAAATGGTTGACTGATTGCAAGCAGAATGGGGAGAAGGGGTAGGGATGAGACCAAAGTTGGGAGGGTGCACAACAGACTATGGTGGTGGGTTACAGGGTATATTGATGAAGGGTGCAGTATGGTAATAAGACATGAAGAGGGGGGTCCTCTACTCCGAAAACCAGACAACAATGTAAACCTGTTTTATCTCAATTAAAAATTAATTAGTTTTTAAAAAGTACTGGAAGACTGTGGTCAGTAGGGCCACCTGTGTTACTGTGCCAATCACCTGCAGAAGTGAAGAGTGCATGAAGCGTAGAGAGAGAGAGAGACAGGGAGAGAACTTTTTTAAAGGATTCCTGGAGCACGTGCTTCTGTGACCTCGTGTGCATCTAAGCAGAGAAGCACCGTGTCAAATATATTTTAGAAAGATGACCATGCAGCTTTTTGGAGGAGAGAAAAAACAGCAGTCAGTCTTGGAAAATGTCAGCAGAATTTCTCATGTGCTCAACCTTCTCTGCGCATTCCATTTGGCCTATTTAAAGCCCCTGAAATGGTGGTTGTACTGTCTCCCATTTCTTTTATATCCCTTGTCCTGGTGGGGGGAGAGGGTAACCTCCTGGTATTTCTATGCTCTTCTAGTTCTAATCCTACTTCTATAATGCAAATGCTCTCTTGAATATTATGTCTGCTGACCATACTGCCCTCTGCCTATTGTTTTCTACTTGTCTCCGAATCTTTCAGTCATTGGTCTTCATTTCTGAAGATTTCTCCAGTTGTACTCAACATAATTCATACTCACTCCAGTCATCCTTCTTATGCAAAAGATTATTTGTTTTTTTACTCTTCTCCTCCAGTGATGCCTCCTACACAGTCATTCACTCCTGTTCCTCTAATCTAGTTTTGAGCAGTGACTGAAGCTATCCCATTATCTTTGTTTCCAACCTTCCCCCTCTCCCCCGCCCTCCAGTTTATAACTCCTTTCTAGCTCACTCTCTTTAGTAATACAACTCAGTCTGTTGACTCTTTTTAAGTCTTATGACTCTTTGAAGACTTTTGTACTGGCCTTAACCCCTTTCATATTCTCAACTCTTTCTCCAGCCAGTTTGGATTTTGTGGCCCCTATATAGTGTAAATCTCTTACATGCTCCTTTGAACTCCATTGGTCCTCTTCCCTTCATTTTTTTTTTTTTTTTGTTTACTTGGCAAATAAGCAAACCAACAAAACTAAATCTGATTATTTTCTGGCCTGATGACTGTCACTGAAGAAAAACACTCAACCATGCCCTCTGTTCCTATTGTCATTCTAAGTCTATTTCACTCAAGTCAGTGTTTTTCTGACATTTTTCAACATATGATATATAATTCACATGGAATCCATTTATTATTCTACACTCCTATAAGCCATTCATACTTTAAAATATCTTAAGGTATAATAACTTATACTCTGTCTTCAAAATACCAAGAGACTTTCCCTTTCTTGTTTTGCTCAAGGTTGTTCTTGTTGAAGGAAAAAAATACAAATAAAAAAAATTGTTCTCTAAGCTCCCGTCAACATACCCCACTATCTTACCTCACCTCTGCATTTCCTCCATGACAAGGGTGGCTTGTACCTGTATGTGCTCTAATTTCATATAGAGTTGGGGTGCTCTAATTTCATATAGAGTTGGGTACTACTAGACCCCATGACCTCTTTTTGTCTCAAGGCCTTCATTCTGGTTGCTGGCTCAGTTCTCATTTCTCCCTTCCATCTCAATGTTTGCTTCTCTTTTTCCTTCAACTAAGGATATTCAGCTGTCTGCTGGCCATCTCTTTTAAGAAGTCTCATGGCAGCTGAGACTTCCACAGTTTTGACCGAGATTCCTGCATGCTCCCTCTCCTGCTTCTCCCACAGTTATCACTACTACAGTAAGAACTCAACCAATCATGCTCATGTGGCCATAAAGATGTCTTAATGGCTGGCAGTCTTTGTGATAGGTGCCTGTGCTCCAGCAATTGCTAAGTATTTGAACAGCCTTCCTATGTAGAACATTATATAATTGGTGGCTAGATTAATAAAGAGTTGACATTTATCTTAGGGATTCTAAATTTTTGGTCTTTATTATTAATGGTCAAGCCTAAATGCATTAGGTTATATTAAACACTCTACTGGGTAGTATCTATATATTCTTTGCTAGAGTAGATATTTATTTAACTAATATGGGACTGTCTACCAATGTGCTTTTAAATTAGAAGTTCAATCAATAAAAATTAAATTTGATGGCCAATTAACAATTTTAGTTAAAATCTGTATCCGCTTATATTTTGTTAACTTAAGAGCTCCTAATAATATTTTGTTAATCAATTTAATAAGTCATTTGTAAT